TTCATCTTATGCAATCCTAGAATCTGCCATTTAGGGCGAAGATTCAAATTCTCAGCCAGAGAATTCATCTAGTTCCTCACCAAACTACAAACCCCAGGATTCCACAGGACACAACCATGGCAGTTAAAGTGGAATTATCGTACTATAATTGTGGAGTATGAAAAGGCCCCGGGTTCCCATGTTTTTGGTAGGGCTTCTTCTCTGTGGCGCAACAGCTCCCGTTTTTACAAACAAGGCAATGGTTCATATTGCCCCTTTGCTGGTGACACAGCTTTCCTTCAGCTCTGCTCTTGCTTGTTTTATTTCTCTGACATGGCACTACACAAACAGTGGCTTCTGAAGTGGATACTACATGGTGCCATTTTTCTGCTCACTTGAAAGTCGCCATCCTTTAGTCAGGGAGCATTTCAAGAGCCAGTTTGAACAGCACAAATCTAATAATGTGACAATGCTGACACAGCTTCTGTTTGAGATGGCTTTTCTTAAATTAAACAGAATATCTTGTCAGAAAAGGAAGGAAGGAAGGAAGGAAAGAGTAGGAGATAAATTCCTATTGATTCCTATTGATGCTAGCAGCCGATGACTTCCATGTCAGTGAGATGGTTAATTCACTCTGGGTCTCAATGGGAATTTTATGCGAGTTCTTCAAGATGCTGCACCTATTGTAGAGATGTGTGGGGAAAATATTACAGAGCCAGGAAGGCACTTTGCAAATGAGGTAAATACTTGAGGTCCATGGGAAGGCAAAGTACTTAGTGGGCATTTGTAAATTTAAAAAGAAAGAAAAAGAGACAGTTTTTCCAATTTATGGTGGGGAACGTCTCCAGTATTTATGATGTTGTAAGCCATACGTAGGACATTGTGAATACTGTGATTCATATTTATGGTCGTGACATTGTTGGAACAATTGCAAATGCCTCTCTAAAACAAACCCAAAGGTGCTGGAGAGTGGAGTGCTAAAGAATGTCATGTACAGCCTCTTTCACAGTAAGGCAAGTTGGAAAACAATTCTGATAGGAACCCACAGGCTTTCTGTGGGCTGAGGAGATGTAACCATGATGACAGAGCTCCATTGTTGTAGCTACATATGACAATGAAAGATCTTGGCCTGTATTTTATTTTGTTTTAAATATTTAAATTTCATTATCAATAAATAACAAATAAAACCATTCAGTCATTATCAACAAATAAAATCCTCCTTTTTCTTCTTGATTAATCAATATTTGGAAGTACAATCAGTCCTCCCTATCCACTGATTCTTTATTCACAGATTCAATCATCCACAGCTTGAAAATATTCAAAAATATATAAATTCCCCAAACAAACCTTGCTTTTTGCTATTTTATATAAGAGACACTATTTTACTATGTCATTGTATATAATGGATCTTGAGCATCTACAGATTTTGTTACCCATGGAGGGTCCTGGAACCAAACCCCAGCTGATACCCGCTGTATTAATTTCATTATTATTAAATAAGATTCTCTCCAGGTCATTGCTAACAAAAATTACCAATCATGTACGAAAAATAATTATTAAATTTGTGTATAAATGGATCCTAAATGTACCTGAGTTGACTTTACTTAAATTGACTTAATAGGATATTGATGATATTGTTGAATTATGGTGAGAGTGTGCAGAGTGTGTGCAAGACTGCCATTCATCAGCTCCATACATCTCTGGATCTGTAGCTCCCTGCAGCTTGCAGCATACCTTGAAACCAGACCAGAGATCAAATTCTCTTCAAAAGAAGGTTCTTTATTCTTCAGTTGCAGAATTAACATGATAATTATTTACATTGTAGAACATCTATCATACAGGCAGAAAAACAAAGGAAACTCCATGGCTAAGCCCAGCAATCCACTCAAGGCAAAGATCAAAACGCAATAACTCCACCCCAGGTTGATACCTTTATAGACATTTTCTAAACAGCTTCTAAACCCAGCCTTCTTCCTGTGTCTTGTGTCATGTGACCAGTGATTCTCTCACACTCTGATGACCTAATTTGTTTTTCTCTTGTATCCTGTGTTCCCAGATACACACTGACCTTGGCTATGTTGTTTTCGTGTAATACACCTACAGGCTAAAACTTTCACAGCTAGAACTTTCCCACATCTGTACATTTCCATTTTGACTACATATCCCCAACAGATATTGACTGCTGAATGTGATGTTGACTGTGATACTGACTATATTGCACTGAATGCCACAATATGATACTGGATGAGATCCTATCCTAGTAGAACCTATTCTACACCTTCCCTCTCTCCTCATATGCACAGTCTACCTCTCTGCTTCTGGAAAGCCCCCACATAGTCATTTAGTGGTTTGGGAAGGATGGGGGAAGCCAAGATATACAAAGATGATGTCATTCTCCAGGATCTCCAGGGGACTCCCCCCCAAAAAAAAAAATATCTGAGAGGATGATTTCTTCATGTGCCTAGCTCTAGTAATACATCTGGATGCTGCCTAGCTGTCCTTGCCATCTCTCAGATACTTAATGGCAATGGCTGCCCCAGGTTGGATAGCAGGTTGTTGATCACAGAGGGGGCACATTATGTTGGAAGGAGGTAATTGAGGATGGTGATGATAGGTGCCTCCTTCTGAAATGACTATAAAAGGCCATTGTTGTTGTGTGCTTTCAAGTCATTTCCAACTTATGGCGACCCTAAGGTGAACCTATCATGGGGTTTTCTTGGAAAGATTTGTTCAGAGGAAGTTTGCCATTGCCTTTCTCTGAGACTGAGAGTGTGTGACTTGCCCAAGGTCACCCAGTGGGTTTCATGATTGAGCAGAGAATTGAACCCTGGTCTCCAGAGTCATAGTCCAATGCTCAGATCACGCCACCACACTGGCTTTCTAAACACATGCATAATGACTACAGTTCGTTTTGTTTGCATTGACTGTAGTGCTGATGTGACGCTGGGCTGCAAAATGGGCTGGAAGGCTGTATTATTGTTGTTAACTGCTGTCAAGTTAACTTCAACTTATGGTGACCCTATGAATGAGAGACCTGCAAATCTCCTTGTTATTAACAGCCCTGCTCAGGTCTTGCAGTTTCAGGGCCATGGCTTTGATTGAGTCAATCCACCTTTAATATAGACTTACTCTTTGCTTACTGCCTTCTACCTTACCAAACATTATTGTCTTTTCTAATCAAGCAGTGATATGTCCAAGCAGAGATATGATAGTCTCACCTCTGTCATCTTGGCTTATAGAGCAAGTTCAAGCATGATTTCCTCTTGTTTAGTTTTATAATCTATATGAATCATAATACATAATTATATTTTTATATTTTATAGTTATTATGTTAGATATATGGTTGTTAAAAGTATTTTAAACAGTTTTTTGTAAAAATTGCAGAGAAGTACATGGCAACTAGTTAGTTATATTGTTCACTCCCCTTTTACCTTTAGTTGGAGGAAATGATTGTTGTCTTTGGAACTAAAATGTCCTAGGGGTAGTATCATATGTTTAAAGTTTAGAGACATATACGAGACCATATCACTTCATCTTACTGAAATTATTAGAATTTTTAAGTATTATTGTTTCTAGAAAATGATATTGGCCTACCTCTGTTCTTCTATAAATTAGGATATGTTTGTAGTTGCCAGTATGTCCCAGTAAGAACTTACTGTATACAACTAAGATGTTTTATTGTGATTTTATGCTGGCCGAATGGCTGTAATAATAAAAGATAATAATAATAAAGATTTCCTCTTGGCCCCATCTTTTTGTCTTTTTGACAATCCACCTGGTATCCACTGAACTCTCCTCGAGCATCACATTTCAAAGGAGTTTATTTTCTTCTTATCAGCTTTCTTGACGGTCCAGCTTTCACAATCACATGTAGAAATTGGAAATATGATGTCCATGGTGGGGGAGGGCTATATTACAGGGGTGCACATTGTAGCTGAAGAGTCCTGGGGACTTGAAAAGTGTGTTTATAAATACTCAATATTATTTACACCATCTTACATACTTTTGAGGCCTGCAGACTCAGTGCAATAAAGAGCACAACATATGAAATGTAGTGTAATTGCCTCTTCTGGCCTATTTTGCTCTTCTGGTTTTTATATCTTTCCTCCCTTTAGCTTTCATATTTCTCCTTACACACACATGCATACAGTTGCAGCCTCGTTGTCCCATTGAGACACAGGCACTGGTGTACATCAGCTATCTGTGGTGAATTCATGATTGTTCTTTTTAGTGTCAAATACCTGAGGCTATGGGGAGCTTTGAAGAAGAAGACAACTTCTCTCCCACTTGCACCCCAACTTTCAAAGAAGCACAGAAGTGGAAGATCTCTCTTTCTCTCTGTGTATATACTGTATATATAATCTATTTGCATTTTGCTG